CTGAGCCCCGGGGAACACTATGTCTGTCTCTCTGATTGAATCTCATAAAGTTAGAGGAAGTTTTGGGATGGATATATTAGTTTAGTTAATCTATCTAATTACTTGTTTCTGTCCAGTTCCTCGTAGAACACGTCCTCCCAGCCACTTGAAATCCAATACACTTTAAACCAAAACAGTATGTCTGCTAGGGAGCCGGTCGGCCGAGCGGACACAACGCTGGACTTGTGGTCCTGGGTTCGATCCCAGGCGCCGGCGAGAAACAATGGGCAGAGTTTCTTTCACCCTATGCCCCTGTTACATAGCAGTAAAATAGGTACCTGGGTGTTAGTCAGCTGTCACCGGCTGCTTCCTGGGGGGTGGAGGCCTGATTGAGGACCGGGCCGTGGGGACACTAAAGCCCCGAAATCATCTCAAGATAACCTCAAGATATTGAATGTTATCAAAGCACCCCTGTAGTTTCTATGCTTTTTTGTTTACATGTCTATGTTATGTCTTGAAAAAAGTTCATTGTATTCAAACTGACAACATTTATACGACACTGAGGTTGCTTTCTGTTAATGGGCTCCTTCGCCCGCTAAGAATATATCTCCGCTAAGAGTCTCCGTGGTGTAGTGGTAAGACACTCGCCTGGCGTTCCGCGAGCGCTATGTCATGGGTTCGTATCCTGGCCGGGGAGGATTTACTGGGCGCAATTCCTTAACTGTAGCCTCTGTTTAACGCAACAGTAAAATGTGTACTAGGTTGTAACAACGATTCTTCGCGGCGGGGATCGTATTCCAGGGACCTGCCCGAAACGCTACACGTACTAGTGGCTGTACAACAATGTAACAACTCTTGTATATATAAAAAAACAAAAAAAAAATGTCTGGGGTTGGAGGCCTGACGTTTAGTGGTAGCCTTACCCAACTTTGCAGGGGGAATGGTCTAGGGTACTGGACAGACATAGGCTGGTCTGGGTCACCAGGATTCAAGAGGAAATAGTGTACTATGGTCACGAGCTGACCCCCTACGACTGTTTTTCCCCACACTCTCCCCCTCACCCCCAGCTATGCATGGCTAAATATTTGAAGGAAAAAAGAGAATTCAGAACAGGTTTTCTTAAAGCAATGTGAAGAATTACACACACTGATATTGGGAAAATTAACACAAATTTTCTAATTATCATATTTTACCCGTAGTAGCATAAAAGAAACGATCTTCCTGCAGCTTTCAAAGACTTTCTCAAGTGCTTGTTAAAATATTTTAAAATGTTAAAATATTTTTGTAAAATTTCGCTCTGCTTGGCTCCTCTCACCAGCAAACCATCTGCATGCCAAGTGGAAATTATTACATTTTGTTGATAAAAGAGAACACGAGAGAGAGAGAGAGAGAGAGAGAGAGAGAGAGAGAGAGAGAGAGAGAGCGAGAGAGAGCGAGAGAGAGAGAGCGAGAGAGAGAGAGAGAGAGAGAGAGAGAGAGAGAGAGAGAGAGAGAGAGAGAGAGAGAGAGAGAGAGAGAGAGAGAGAGAGAGAGAGAGAGAGAGAGAGAGAGAGAGAGAGAGAGAGAGAGAGAGAGAGAGAGAGAGAGAGAGAGAGAGAGAGAGAGAGAGAGAGAGAGAGAGAGCGAGAGAGAGAGAGAGTCAACAAAGAGATAGACAGAAGAAGATAAGACAAAGACATACGGAGACAGAATGAGATAAAGATAGACAGACAGACAGAGAAAAACAGAGATAAACCTTTGGAGACATCCCAGTGTCCCCCGGCACACCCCCCCCCCCTCCCCGGTACCCGCTCCCCCGGTACCCCCCTTCCCTTGGTACCCCCAGAACCCCCCCCCCCAGTGCCCCCCAATTCACTACCGACTCGCTGAATGGTTAATTAAAGCTTCACGTAATGTAACAGTGCGCGCCGCTTATGGTTAATAACATAATTGAATTCAATTAAGTTGCCTTGATGTACGGTCAAGCCATCCGCGATATTATACGGGGGTGTCGTGTACTAGTGGGCGTCACGGGCTAGGAGCACCACCCGCGTTCCTGGGAGGTGGTGTTGATGCTGGTTGGTGTGTA